CGTGTTTACTAAAACTACAAAAAATTAGCCGGGCATGGTGGCAGACGCCTGTAGTCCCAGCTACTCAGGAGGCTGAGGCAGGAGAATCGCTTGAACCCGGGAGGCGGAGCTTGCAGTGACCTGAGATTGGGCCACTGCACTCCAGCCTGGGCAACAGAGCAAGACTCCATCTCAAAAAAAAAAAAAAAATCCTCAGTGGTCCAGAAATACAAGAATGAAAAGAAAGTTTTTCTCTTGACCCTTCCTCCGTTCTGCTGTAGGAACCCTTGCCAGCTTTGATGTGTCCTTCCAGATGGTCTTTGAGTTTGAATACATCCGTGTGCATCATACACATATGCTGATATGGGGGTGGGAGGACTTGTACCTAAAAAGAGCCCTTCTTTTTGCACGGTTCCACAATTTGATTTTTTAAAATATTTCCTGGAGATGTTTCCATGATGATACATAGATCTACCTCATTTTTTAAACTATTTCATAGAATTCCACAGTGTAGATGAAATATAGTTTAGTCTTCTGTTGATGGATTATATTTCTTAATTTTTTTTTACTGTTCAAGAAACGAAGTAGTGCATTTTCTTCTGTGTATCTCTATGTGCACACGTTACTGTGTCTCTAGGACTGACACTGGATGTGCCATCTCTGAGTTGAAGGGAAGCACATTTAAATGTCGATAGGGTTGCCAAATGCTCCAGTCTGAGCTCCTGTGCCCCACATGTTTATGGCACTGGCTGTGAACAGTCTTGTCATTTTGGCCAATTTGATGAAAAGGAAAAAAATTACATTGTTTTAATTTCTGTTTTCTGGATAATAGATTGTACCTCTTTTTATGTTAAGGTATCTTTTTCTTTTCTTATCACAATATATGCCAGTACATGTCCATGTATCAATTGGGTTATTTGTTCTTTTTCTATAAACATGTAGGGTTTCTTTATGTTTCTCAATAATAATAATAATCTCTTAGGTATCCTTTGCCAATCTCCAAATCCAACATTTACCGTTTAACTTTACTTTTTTACACAAAAGTGTTTATTAATGAACACACTCTGTCAATCTCATACTACATGGCTCCTTGGTTTGTGCCTTATATCCTCGCCCCAAAGTTACATGAATGTTTCCTTAATTTTCCTCGAATACCTTTATATTGTGTTTCTTATATTTGGTGCAGTAATTTATCTATCAGATAATTTTGTGGATGTGGTGCAAGCTGAAGTTCTAGCTTTATTTTTTCTAAATGTTTAATGAAGTGTCCCAACACCACTTACTGTTTTACTGTTCTATTCCAGCAGGTCTCAAACTTTTTGGTGTCAAGACTCCTTTACACATTGAAAAATTATTAAGGACCCCCAAAGAGCTTTTGTTTGTGCATATTTTGGAGAAAGAGAGAGAGAGTTATTTATCATATTGGAAATTACAACTCAAAAAATTTTAAAACACAAGAATGCACACACCCACATCGTATTTGAACAAGAGCAAGGACATCATCTCCTTGGCCATTCTGGAATCCGGGAATTCTGGATATGTAACATATGTGGACCCATGATCTCTCACCTTTTGTGATCCTCCAAATACTGCTGCAGTATTTGGAAGCTGGTCCCTCCCTGCCCTGTCCTGTCCCTAGTGCAGGGCTGGGTACATAGAAGGACACAGAGCCTGCACTTCTGGGATTAGGCAGGAACTTGAGAGAAGGGTCTCCGTAGAACAGTGCTTGTCAGAGTTTTTCAATTCCGTAAACATTCAGTGAGTACTGCAGTGTGCAACCTCTTAGGCTAGGGCTGTGGGGAATTTAAAGCCATCTTTCTGGCCACAATGGAGACAAACTCTCTTAGCAGGGGTTGTGGGGGAGACAGAGGCGCCGCGGTACCTGCTATGATTTGAAACCCATCCTCGATGCAGTAAACGAAGTCCCAGCTGCTTATGAAATCGGCTCCCAGTACAGTTGGATTGTTTCCTCTTCTTTCTCTTTCTAAAAAAAAGACAGTAAATGGGTTTTGATACCTTTAAAAGAAATTTCTGTTTCTTGATCTTATTATGGCATGGATATTTTCAGCATATTGCCAGTGGGCCAGTAAGGAATGTGTGTCTGTGTATTTGTGTCGGAGTCTGAGAGTGGATGTGAAAGGGAACAGACCATGTAAGCTGCCACAGGTTTACAAATCCCGGAGAAGCAGGAGGTTGGGGTAGGTCTAGGGCCACCCGTCTCTTGGCAAGATTTAGGAAAGGGACCAGCCCGAGACTCTTCTGTCATCCCAGCAGAGCAGACTTCCAGCATTCAAGTCCTAGCTCTGCTATTTCTCAAGCAAATTACTTCATTGCTTTCTGCCTTGGTTTCCCTGTCTGTTAAGGGGGAGTCACACTTCTCCCTGGGTCACTCTGAGGTTTAAGTGGAACAGGACCTGACACATCCCAGTGATGCCAGCCATTGTTAGGAATGATGATGCTGATGGTTCCTCGAGACCTCCTGAGTCAGCTGGGTCCTAGGATGTGGGTAGTGCCAGCAGGCTGCATCTTGCATCTCGCATCCTACTTTGGATTCATGTCATTTTGACACAGCTGCAAGCTGACAGTGGAACTGCATTCCATAATTTACAAAATGTGTCGAAAGCACATGAGATATTAATAGAAAAGCTAGCCAGGCTCGGTGGCTCACACCTGTAATTCCAGCACTTTGAGAGGCAGGGGTGGAAGGATCACCTGAGGTCGGAAGTCCAAGACCAGCCTGGTCAACATGGTGAAACCCTGTCTGTACTAAAAATACAAAAATTAGCTGGGCGTGGTGGTGGGCACCTGTAATCCCAGCTACTCAGGAGGCTGAGGCAGCAGAATCACTTGAACCTGAGAGGCAGAGGTTGCACTGAGCTGAGATTGTGCCACTGCACTCCAGCCTGGGCAACAAAAGTGAAACTTCATCTCAAAAAAAGAAAAAAAAATAGAAAAGCTGCATTTTTTTATTGTTGCTATAAACCTTTAGAATTCTATGTCCGCTGGCTATGATGCCTCCCGATGGGGGTAATGAGCATAGTTGGCATTGTCAAAGGAGCTGCAGCCACTTTCAGTCTGGGATCCTCACTGCTCGTACATGCCAGGTTTCATATGGTTCATACATAGGAATGTTATATTCACTTTGACTTTGCCATCATTCTACCTGGATCGTAAACTCTGGGTGACACATGAGTATTTCTGGGATTGCAGTTTGGCTCTTCATGTATTATTCAGTAAATAAATCTGGTTCTGTTCTTGATTCTTTTCTACCTTGGCTATTTCTTGTTTCCGTTCCATGTGTCCCCTCCTCTTTCTGTCTCCTGTCTTTTCCCCGTCGTAGCCAGTCCAAACCCATTGCTAGTGTCTAACGTCATCTCCCTCTCACACAACCCAGCTTTCCTGACTCAATCTTCCCACTGGCTCCCTCATCGTGTTCCCTGGACTCCACTTCACCTCTTCTTTCCAGCCAGTGCATGACCTGAATCCCAGGGGAGTTGCCTCCCAGGTCTGCCCCCTCCTGGCAGGGGGGATGTGGGTAGGGAGAGGGGCCTCTTTAGCCCCATTCTGTGGGAAGGCAGTTGAAAATGAGACCATCTTTGCTGCCTGGGACACCACCCATGTGACCCCACGTGCACACAGAGCCTCCACCATTGCCATTTGCCCAGCAGGGGTTGCCCAGGCTGGCGGTAGCTGTGGGTAGGGGTCTGCTTCCCTGTGTCTCTCTGGTCCCCTACCACTGCCTGCTACCATCTCCTTCTAGAACAGACCCAGTGGTTTAGGGCGATGTTGAAAGTCAGTCAACAGGCAGAAGCCCATTCCCTCCTGTTTTGCCTGCAGCCCTGTGTGCCCAGATGGTGACATTGGTTAACCATGGCACAGCAGACCACGGCACCGCACTGGGTAATGTGCTCAACCTTCTGGTCTAAAGATGAATTCTCTCCAGCCTGGAGAAGATCATCACTGATATGTTCTGGCATGGTCTATTTGGCATTCATCCTCGGAAACATTAGGAGAGCAGGAGCGTTTCTTTCTCTAGCCTGTAATAGATCGATAGGGGATGCCAGATGTATGTGTAAACTCCCAAACCCAGGATGAATGGATTTTTCGCCCTGAGAAATATCTGTATCCTGTAAATAGAATTTTATAAGCATTTGTGGGACAGAAAAAGTCTCTGGCCTTTTCACATTGCCACACTCTCGGGTGATGGATCTCATCTGCTGAAGAGCACCAAGCTTTTTCCCTTTGTGTTAGACACATCTTGTGGAACTCTTGACTTCCTCTCTCTCAATGTCCTGCGAGAACTCGTGGTTCCCAGCTGCCTATCAAGCAGCGGAGGATGGCCATATAGGTCAGGGGTTGCCTGAAAGGCTGGGAAAACTCCCCCAAGTAAAAAATACCCCTCACCCTGATGTCACTCCGAGAAATGCCACCGCCCGTTCAGGGGCTTATTTTCTCCTTCTTCCCCTTCTCTGTAAGCAGAGAAGAGGCCGCCCACTAAAGCAGAGGGCTTTCTGGGCCCCAGAAGCCATTCTCCTCAGGGGAGACGCCTGTTGGCACTGCAGTCCTCAGCATTCAGAAGCCAAAATTAGAGTCTGCGATTGATGTACAAGTCAATATGTCATCCTTTTACCCAGGGCCTGAGCTGCAGCCAACTCAAACCAGTGTGCTTCCTGAGCAGGATGCCACAGTCACTGGCTCCACAGTGAGGCACAGAAAAAGGTGAAGGTCAAGTAGAAGTCAGAGGAAGGAAGTGGGTAGGTGACGCCCAGGGAGCCCTCCAGTCATCACGGAGCCACAGAGGCTGCTCCACGCTGGGGCATGTGACGCCCCCTGCCCTGACGGAGGGTTCCATCTGGTTAGACGAAATTCCCGGAAGAGCAGGAACCAAGGCAAGGCCGGGAGAGAGAGAGGCCAGCAGCTAGAGAGTGGCCTGTGCCTGGGGGGGTTTCGGTTCCAGGCCTCCATCACGTCCACCTTTTGCGCGGCCCCTCACTTCCACTTGCCTCCTTGACTCGTGTCACTGTCCTGGAGGCTGTGGTGTGCTTCTTCTCTGTCTGGTCCATCGTTGGCCTCTCAGGATTCCACACCTACTTGATCAGCTCCAACCAGACGACAAATGAGGACGTAAGTTCCTGACCACACAAGACACGGGGTGTGTTCTTGGGTTTTGGGCAATGGAGGAGAAAAAGGAAAGAAGAGGTCGGGCCCAGCTTCTCCCATACATCCCATTCCAGATGTGAGCCCTTGGGAACAGAGGCGGTGCCGTGGAAACTTCTCCACATGCCATTCTGCATGTTTCTCTACTGGGAATCTCTACGTTCTCTTTTTTTCTGACCACATCCATTAGATACTAAGGTTGGCCAAGTGACACCCATTTCTGGCCCTGAAGAGAGTGTTCTTTCTATTCCTTTGAAATGGTTTCATAAGCTTCTTATCACACTTCCCCTGGTAGAAACCATGGCGGGCCAATATCTTGGAGTGAATGTTTGAGTCTGCCTTTCATATTTAATTTCTCTATGGGAGGAAATTGCCCTGACCCAAAATTTAACTTTTTATCCAGGATTGTCTGCCTGTACTTAATACAGATGAAGAGGAAGTATGAAAACAGGAAACAAGGCCGGGCACGGTGGCTCATGCCTGTAATCCCAGCACTTTGGGAGGCCAAGGCGGGCGGATCACAAGGTCAGGAGATCGTAGACCATCCTAGCTAACACAGTGAAACCCCGTCTCCACTAAAAATACAAAAAAATTACCCGGGCATGGTGGCAGGCGCTAATCCCAGCTACTCAGGAGGCTGAGACAGGAGAATCACTTGAACCCAGGAGGCAGAGTTTGCAGTGAGCTGAGATCGTGCCACTGCACTCCAGCCTGGGTGACAGAGCGACACTCCGTCTCAAAAAAAAAAAAAAAAAAAAAAAAGAGGAAACAAAATGTTAGAGAATGTTTCCAGAGCAGCGTGGTCCACTTTGCTCTTTACACTTAGATTTTGATACAAGTCTCTATCCACACGTGAATTAAATGTCTCAGGATAGGTCCAGTTACCTTAAACAAAAGCTTGAGAAAATAGGTTGTGATAAGACACATGAGATAAGAGAATATTAATACAGTTATTTGTACTTGGTAGCTACAAATATCAGAATATGCAAAACAGACTATTTTGGTTACAAGAAGAGGCTGAATTATTTCAGTCTGTAAATTAGCAATGAGGGGAACCATTTCACCTGCCATTCATTTAATTATCATTTAGGGCACTAAATGTGAGTATGAAAAAATCTCTGCTGGCTTATATGAGATGGCCTTTTAGTATCATGTGGGACAAATAAAAGATGATTGTCCCTGAGAATATTATTCTTTCGCTAATCTAACCTGCTGTTTTAGGACATTTCCGAGTTTGGAGTAAATGCCCATTTTCTGTAAGAAAAATACCTCCATTTCTTTGGATTAAAGATGATTTGCATTCTTTATGGCTTCTCATGGTCCAGCTCACCTCAACCGTGCATTGGCGTGAAGGATATTGCTTGTTACTGACTTTCCTTTTCTTTCAGATTAAAGGATCCTGGTCAAATAAAAGAGGTAAAGAAAATTACAATCCCTACAGCTACGGAAATATCTTTACCAATTGCTGTGTTGCCCTGTGTGGGCCCATCTCACCAAGGTAAGACTCAGGACGCATCGTGCTCTTATACAGACCTTGGAAAACCGAATGCCTCAGCCGTTAGCACAGGCCCCCCGCCCTGGCGGAATGGGTCACCGCCACCAGGTGACCGCTTTGTGCCCCGTGGACATGGCCTTCATGAAATCGAGATCTGGCTCTGTGTGTGGTGTCACACTTCACACCTTTTTTGATCTTCAACCGAATCTGTGTCTGATTTGGGGAAAATTTCCTGAAGCCCAAAATAGAGAGACAGATGCCTGTGGCCCTGCTAATGACTGAGGACCTGCTAATGACTGAAGGTGTGCGCAGGGAGCCGTGGTTAGCATCGTCAGGGAGACAAGACACATGCAGGAAGGAAGCAGCCAGAAAGCCTGCGGAAACCAGTTTTGAAAGTTGATTTGCACAGAATAGAAATGTTCATAGGGAGAGAGCCACATGTGCCGCAGTCATTGAGACTGTGGTTGTGGTGATAATGACAATGACACGAACCATGGCAGTAGCTAACCTTTATTGAATCTGTGTTAAGCCCTGCTGTAAGTTCTTTACCTGCATCAGCCTTTTACAAGCTCACTCTGTACCTATAGGTAGGCACCATTATATCCCATTCTATGGATGAGGAAAGCGAGGCACAGAGTTTAAATAACGTGCCCAAGATCACACAGACAGTAAATGCTGGCCAGTCAGGATGCACACCCAGGCCGCCCAATGTCAGAGCCAGTGTGTGCCCACTGAGGCACGCTGCCTCCAAGTCAGAGTGTACAAGTTCAAAATACAGATTCTTTGTGAGTTACACCTATGGAGAATATTTTCAACTGATAAATCGAACCATGATCAACAAATAAGTATTGAGCAAATCTACTTGGTCTCTGGAATGAGTTTCCAACTCATTACTGCTTCCTGCCTTTTGGTCTCTAAATGTGTAAAACGGAGAAATTACAAAAGCCACCATGACTGTGTCCAGGGCAGACCCACTGGGCACCCAGACCTTACCGATGTGCGCTTGTGAAATGCAAACTTCATTTGATTATCAGCCTCAGTGAATCCTCATTAGAGAGGTAAAAAGAATTCAAGAAAAAAAATCCAAGCACATATTCCAAGGCCATCTGTGCACTGGCATTGAGTTATTATGACTTTGAGTCATCGTGGTGCTACTGCAAAACTAGAACTTGATCATTGTCTAGCTTTAGCCTAGAAAGTGGGGAGCCCAGCATGCCACTGTCCTCCTGAACGAGGGGTCCTCAAGGGACCCCTGACCTCCTCAGAGGCTTGGAAAGGGCAAGTGAGGATCCTGGGTTTGGGAGGCTGCTCGGTCCACAGGGGTCAGACATGCCTGGGCAGGTGCCAGCTCCTCTTGAAGAAACCTCCTGACTCACCCAGGGATCCTTCCGGGAGCTCTTTAGGCAGAAAGTCTCTCAGGCAGTGGCTTGATTTGTCGCAGCCTCCATGGTGCTTCCCACTGGCATGTTTGTGGCTAGCAGGGCAGGCCAGGAAATTGAGTGTAAGAGCCAGGGAGAGCTGCCCTCTTTCCGCCGCCTGCGGTGTATGTGTGGGTCTAAGAGAGGATGCTGAAGCCTCAGTTCTGCCCAAATCTCCGTTCTTGTTCCCAAGTCCTTCATCTGCATATGGCACGGCTTTATGTTGTTTAGAGACCACAAACTGTCACAACCAAAATTATTTCCACAACTGGGTTAAATGTGCTTTTGTGGCTGGATTTGGGCTGTATTCTTTCCAAAATCCACGTTCCTTTGGGTGGGGCGTTTCTTGAGAATGGTCCTACCCTCAGAAGTGTTTGAATCATTTGTTAAAAGGTAAACTGAAGGACATGAAAATATTGAAGAATGTATTTGAACGGAGGTGATTCATGAATCTGGCAGCTCCAGACTTGAAGCAGTGTGGGGCCCACTGAAGAGGCTCCAGGGATTTGGGGCCGCACTGCAGGGACTCCGGGGGAGGCTTTACTGGGTGAAGGTAGAGCGAGGCAAATGAGATATTTGCTTTGTTAAAGCAGGGCTATAGCTTTCCCTGGGTCATTCTGGCGCTTGGGCAGGGACACAGGCCACTCACAGGCTCCCAGGCAGATGTGAGGGGGTGATGCCTACCTTTGCCTCTCCCTCTCATCCTCTCTTGCCTTCCCCTCCCCCTGTGCTACCTCGCCCCAGCCCCTGTGCCCTTAAGTGGGCCAGGGCCTTCCCGGGCATCCCAGTCAGGCCCACCCGCTGAGAGTGTGCCCTGCCTCAGACCCACGTGCCCAGACCCCTGTGCTTGACTTGCCCCTCGTGGGTTCTTAAACGGTGCCATGCCATGCAAATGAAGCAGAGCGAGTCTTTGTGTTCCCTTTTGGGAGCCTGCATACCAAGAGTGCAGAGACCCACATTCGGTTCCTGCAATGTCACCAGAGGCAGGGACGGCAGCTGGCTGGGTATGGCCAGGTTTGGGGGGAGGGGTCCTCATATAAGCCTGACAGGAGGAATGGAAAATTGGGAACACAGAAAGGCCCAAGGAATGGTCAGTGTCACACCAGACTTGGGCCGGTCACGTGGGTCACGTGGCCACCACTGATGGCGCATGCGCAGTGGAGCCGGCTCCGTGCCAGGCGCTGGGGGTGCACGGGAGAGGGTCTGGCTCCTGGGCAGCAGGGACCGTCCATGGGCAGGCGGCGCACAGTAAGGTGCATGGGCCGCCCAGGAGTAGGTCTAAGCTGTGATCTCTCCTAAGGGTGAGAAGGAGTTTGGAGGAGGAAGTGGTGGGGAGGAGCAGGGTTTCAAAAGACAAAGGGGGCAGCCTGTGCAGGGACCCGAGGGTGAGGGTCCTGGCTCATCCAAGGAAATGCTGAGGGGGTTAGTGTCAGGAGTGAGGGGCGAGGGGAGCTGGGCCGAGAGGTGAGACAAGACAAGGGGCGAGGCCAGGTGACAAGAAGGATAGGCAGAGCCCGCTGTGTCCAGAGCATCACAGCCCTGGGAGCCCAGCTGCTACATTAAACAGGCTGGATGTGATGGGATGCTGGCCGAGAACGCTTCATTTTTCTCCCCCTGCTGTCCCTTCAGACTTTTTTGATGACCTAGTTCTTTTTCCGCTCCTGGATAAAATCCCCTGCAAGCCCCTTAATTTCTCTTGTCACTTAAAAGAGAGAGAGAGAGAGAGAGAGAGCGCGTCAGGGCACTTTCCCTCCAAAATAGTATCATTTCAGTGCATCAGAACTGCCAAGTTCATTGACAGTTAACACTTCCCATCCCTTCACCCGAACCTGGTTGGGAGAACTGTGGGGTTCCCTCTTCCCCTTGAGTTCTGCCCCACCCCCCGCCCCCAGCTAGTCCTGTCTCCCCACCAGCTTCCTGTCCAACAGTGAGGAGGGGATTTGGGCAGGGGGTCAGTGCTGTTGGTCCCCTGCCAATGCTCTAAACTGGTGGGGTCTGAGAGCTCCTGACTAAGAGTTTCCTCTGAGGACCCCCCATCGCAGTTCCCTGATGGAGGCAGGGCCTTTTCTCCTGAGAGTCACTCATACCTGCCACTGCAACCCCGCGCCCGAGGCCATGAGCCCTGCACAGGCCTCTCTGTGAGGCCCCCTCTGTGGGTCTCTTGGGCTGAGTCCTATCGTAGTTTCCTAGGGCACTGCAGTCCAACAACTGCCATGAAATGGGAGAGTTAAAACAACAGAAAGTTGTTCTGTTACAGTCGGAGGCTCGAAGCCTGAAATCAAGGTGCCAGCAGGGTTGCAACTGTCCCGAGGCTGGGGAGAACCCTTCCTTGCCTCTTCCGGGCACCTGGTGGGGCCATCAGCCCTCTGCGTTCCTTGGCTGGCACATGCTTCACTGCGGGGTAGCCTCTGTCAGCCCGTGGCGTTCTCCCTGTGTGTCTCTGTACCCTCACCCAGCATTCTCTTCCTCTCCTCTTTTTCTTCTTGTAAGGACACCAGTCACATTGGACAAAGGCCCACTCCAATTGAGTGTGACCTCATCTTAACTTGGTTACATTTGCAAAGACCCTACCTCTAAGTAAGGTCACACTTGCAGGTACCAGGTTAGGACTTCATATCTTTCTGCACAGTTCAACCCGTGACATTCACTCAAGACCTGGTGGTGGTGGTTGTTTGCGACGGAATCTCACTCTGTCGCCCAGGCTGGAGTGCAATGGCATGATCTTGGCTCACTGCAACTTCTGCCTCCCAGGTTCAAGCGATTCTCCTGCCTCAGCCTCCCAAGTAGCTGGGATTACAGACACGTGCCACCACACCTGGCTAATTTTTTTGTATTTTTAGTAGAGACGGGGTTTCACCATGTTGGCCAGGCCTGTCTCAAACTCCTGACCTCTGGTGATCTGCCCACCTTGGCCTCCGAAAGTGCTAGGATCACAGGTGTGAACCACTGTGCCCAGTCCCTCAAGACAGCTTGGCACTGGCTCTCTCCCATGAGACCCACACCTGGACCTTCACCCAACCCTCAGGTCCCAGTCCATCCCTGGCTGTCACCCACACTAGAGGGCAGAGCACCTTTCTCCAAAACAGCCTTCTCTGCTCTTTCCCCCTCTGACCCTTTGTACCTTTGAAGGGAGGGTTGCAACGCTGGTTTGAGAACCCCCTTTGACGTCCTGCAGAGGAGGTCCGGCACTTCTCTTTGAAAGGTGGAGATTCTTGTTGCCTGTTGTTTTTTCTAAACCTATAGAGTGTTCAGCTGGAACTGAGGCAGAGGGAGTCCCATTTGAGGATCCCGTGGTTTTTCTGGCTTATCGTTCTGCCACTTAAAGACCTGAAGGCAGTAGTCATGAGGTTAACTCCTGTGTTCCAAAAGCTGAACTGACACGTAGGAGGCCCTGCGTTCTGAGAAAAGCAGCCCAGATAGTCAGTCCTCAGAGGTGGGGATGGTTGTGGCCTGAACACGTTTGCTGAGTGAATGTAGTAAGAAGATGTGCCGTTGAGGCTGGAGAGGAGCACTGGGGACAGATGGTGACAGGTGGAGTGAGACCAGCTTAGAGGCTGCCGCAGTTAGTGGACAAGAGGGAGATGCTGGCATCTGAGCAGGTGACATGCCCTTGGCCTGGCCAGGAGGCAGGCCATGCCACAGTCATGTTTAAAGGGAGAAGGAACAGAATCTGGTCACTGATTGTACATGAAAGTGAGGAGAGGAGTAGTCTAAGGTGCCTGAGGTGGGCCTATCATGGGAAGAGGGAGCCCTGACACGGAACCTGAAATAGTGCTGCTGCATCTCTGGCTTTTTATTCACTCTCTTCCTCCTGTGTTCTCTTCTCTCTCGCAGCCTAATTGACAGAAGAGGGTACATCCAGCCTGACACGCCGCAGCCAGCAGCACCCTCCAGCGGTATCACCATGTACGGGGCCACGCAGTCACAGAGCGACATGGTAGGAGCGGGGGCCACCGCCCCATGACAGCTTTCCTTTTGCTTGTGTGCTCACTAACAAGTCACCGAGCAGCCTTCCTAGCAGACCTCCCCAGGAGCAGGGGCAGCCCGCGGCCCCCCACCCCCTGACTACCGTGCTCAGACGGCAGGCAAGACGTTAAACAAAGGCAGTAGCCAGGGAAGCGTGTGGCCACTGAGTTTGGTGTGCTTGTTCACAGTTGTGCAGGGGAAGTCCACACACGCGATCCCTCTGCCAAAACAGCTTGAGGCATGTGGATGGAAGCCCCCCTTATACAGGATCAGGCTGTTGTTTGAGGGATGAGACACATGTCCCAGGCAAGGCTGTGCTCATGGTCTTCCATTTCCCTTTCCGTACCTTGGTCCCCATCTGTACTGACCCCTCTTCCACTTCCTCAAGCGTGCGTGGCTGGTGCTGCCAGTTCCCCTGCGTCCACCCAAAGCATCAGCCCTGTGCTAAATAGTGCAAATGATCAGACCAGGTGTACGATCACTTGCCGCAAAACTGACCAGTGCCTCTCCAGGGCGCGTACACGTCTCACGCTTTCTTCGACGGGTGGACGTGCTTTGCTTCCTGCGTGCAGGTTCCCAGCCTGCAGGTTTCCAATGGGCAGGTGGAGATCTGGGGGAGGGGGCAGGAGTTATTCATGGACACCAGAAATCCCAGCCTGGCCTGGTCCCGACCGTCAGTGTCTTAAGATTCCCTAGGTGTCTGGAAGGCAATGGCCTCTTTTTATTTGGAACAAATGTCCCTAAAGCTAGAAGTTCCATGTTCCTGCAGAGGACCTTGTCTTGTGGTGGTCCTGCGCTGTGTGCTCTTTCTGTAGCTGAATCACCCACTCCAGAGCGTCCATGACAGATCAGAGACCTGACTTTCAGGTAGACTGGATGTGGGCAGCAGCCCAGAACACCTTGCTTCTGGGAGCAAAGAACTGCAAGGTGGAAGCTGGCAGCCTCAAGAGAGTCCTGAGACTGTCAGCTTCCACAGCTGTGTGAACAAGGCTCAGCCCCCAGCAGAGGTGGCTGGGGTTTGTGTGTTGGTGTTGGTGGTGTCTTGTTTGTATTGCTTTGCTCTGCTTTGCTAATAAAACGTTTTCTCTCCCTCTCTCTCTCTCTTTTTTTTTTTTTTTTTGAATCAGAGTCTCGCTCTGTCACCCAGGCTGGAATGCAGTGGCATGGTGTCAGCTCACTGCAACCTCTGCTTCCCAGATTCAAGCGAATCAGCCTTCCAAGTAGCTGGGACTGAAGGTGCATGCCATCATGCAGGCTACTTTTTGTACTTTTAGTAGAGACAGGGCTTCGCCATGTTGGCCAGGCTGGTCTCGAACTCCTGACCTCAGGTGATCCACCTGCCTCAGCCTCCCAAAGTGCTGGGATGACAGGCATGAGCCACTGTGCCTGGCATGTTTTCTTTCAAAGCAAGTACGTTTATTTCAGGGTCCTTGCCCTCCACTCTGTAAGGGATCAGGGAAACAGCTTGTTTGGTCATAACTCATGCACTCAAGGGACCCTTTGAGGGTCACTCCCCCATATTCTTCAGAAAAAGAAACTGAGAACAGACGGAGGAAGAGACAGGCTCGCAGGAAAGGGGATTACATTCACGGAGACCAGCTGTGTTCAGGGCGTGTGGTGGTCACCAACTCATTTAACCCTAAAGCCACAGTGGGAAAAGGGGACGCTTGACCCCACCTTTTTTAAGTAGGAGAGATTGGTCATCTGTCTACCCAAGAGCACACAGACACTAATTTGTGGGTTCAAAGCTAGCCTGGTGACTCCAGTGCCCACGTTCACTTCTGATACTGCATGCCCACAAGTGCACAGGCACTAAAGACCAGGAGATCTGTGCTCAGAGGCTTTCTTCACGATTCGCAGGTGTACAAGAAGTGCCCTTAAGGACAGAGCTCACCAGAATTCTGGCCACAACATACGTTGATCATTTCTCTGATGTGTGCATGTGTCTACACACAATAACCTCTCATTCAATCAGCCACTCTACCTGGGTTCCCTCTGTGTGTTGAGGACTAGACTAGGAGCTAGAGATACAAAGTTTGTGGGGTACAGCTCATCCACCTTCAAAGGGGTCAGTAGTCGGGGGCAGCATGTGAGCAGATACATGAAGGAAGCATTAAGAACCTGCAGTAGAATTGACCACTGATGGCAACTGTCCTTCTCAAAACCAGTGAACTTATGTTCCTCTTACCCTGTGATCCCCATAATACTGGGCTCACCAAGTTCTTCAGGGTACTGATCTCAGCAAGTTCTATGCTTTGTTGAGATTAAGAAAATTAACAAAGGCTGTTTACAGGTGCTCTCACCAGGAAGCCACTTCAGGTCAAGACCAGGTGGGACATAATTCATCAATCCAGCAAACAGTTATTGACCACCTACGCTGTGCCTCTGTGATAGAGAAGGTAGCTTTAACCATGGAAATGGGGAGGTCGTTTTACTCCATATGGCAAATCAGAGTCCCCTCTGGAGTCCATTCATTCTACACCCGCACCAAGACTCTGGTCAAGCGCACATATCGTGACATGGCAGAAATGCTAGGGTTCATCTGCCTATTCCTGTAGGAGTCACCTTCCAACTAACTAGTACCGCTGAAGGCACTGGACTGTGATGTGGTAAGCGTTGTTGGAAGAGGATGCTGCAAAGGTTAAGAAGCCTGTAGCCGTGCAGCAGCTGCCTGTTGGTCACCCCTTATCACTCAATCCAGTGTAAGGCTACTTTTTTTTTTTTTGGAAATAGTGTCTCACTCTGTCGCCCAGGCTGGAGTGCAGTGGCATGATCTCCACTCACTGTAACCTCTGTCTCCTAGGTTCAAGTGATTCTCCTGCCTTGGCTTCCCGAGTAGCTGGGATTACAGGCACCCGCCACCACACCCAGCTAATTTTTTTATTTTTTAGTAGAGACGGGGTTTCACCATGTTGACCAAGCTGGTCTCAAGCTCCTGGCCTCAAGTGATCCACCAGCCTCTGCCTCCCAAAGTGCTAGGATTGCAGGCATGAGTCACCGCGCCCAGCCTGTAAGACTACTTATTAAGGAATCTGTTCATCTGTGGGCTTGAGTACTGTCAGGAAGTTTGAAGATAGCAAAAAAAAAAAAAAAAAACCCAAGGCTCCTTGCCCTCCTATTCTCCACTGTGACTGAGGATGAGACAGCCTGAACACCCCAGGAAAGAGCTGCATGTGATGTCACCATGCCACTGAGCACCAGGCAGATCAGGAGGAGCTCTGGACCTGGAAGCAGAGCCTCTTCACTGCTGGCCTCAGGCTGATGGCATACAGAATCATGGCGGGATTGAGTGAGGACCTGTGTGCAGCCCTGGTCACCTGCCCAGGCTGACAGTGCACTCTCTGCCATGCACACCTGAGTGCAGGTGACTTCACATCTCCTGTAGCATCTTCTTGCCATCCATACACACAAAGGGAAAAGAGCACCATTTTTTGTTTGTTTTTGTTTTTTAAGGCAGATTCTCACTCTGTCGCCCAGGCTGAAGTATGGTGGTGAGATCTCAGCTCACTGCAATCTTCACCTCCTGGTCTCAAGGTGATCCTCCCACTTCAGCTTCCTGAGTAGCTGGGACTACAGGCATGCACCATCATGTCCGGCTAATTTTTGCATTTTTTGTAGCGACAGTTTTGCCATGTTGCCCAGGCTGGTCTCGAACTCCTGACCTCAAGCGATCCACCTGCCTCAGCCTCCCAAATTGTTGGGATTACAGGTGTAAGCCACTGCATGTGGCCATTCATTCCTTTACTCAGGCATGCACAAATCTTTCCAGCGAGCTTCCAGGGGAAGGCTTGAAAGCACTGTCGGGTGTAAAGAAATGAACAGGACTCATGTGCACCTGGGAGCTGTACAGTACAAAAACGCTCCAGTATCACAGCCCTAATGAATCCATGCCCCATGAGTCTAGGCTCAGACACATGACATGTGCATGAAATTTCAGGATCAAGGTCTTAAAGCCCAGGGACCTCATGGTAAAGAAGCTCTCCATCAGTGAGTACCATGGTCTACCGTCTCCCTAACGGAGGCAAAACTGTAAGAAATCTCAACATCCTGGGAGTCATCCACATGTGAGTGCTAGTCTGGATTTGGTAATAGCACAGAATTTTAGAGTCAAGTCCCTTAAGCAGGATGTTCCAGCCAGTGATAAAAGCTGTACAGAGACGTCTCTTCCACATGGTAAATGCTTTCGAGTCAGCCAGCGGGCTTTAAGATGACTTTTTATCCCCATCTGGAAGAGGAAAATTGGAGATGGGGATTCATTTTGCAGAGACCAGACTGCTGCCACTTACTAGAAGCATAAGCTTGATGAGTTGCTTAACCTCTCTGCCTCAGTGTTTTCATCTATAAATAGGAACATTGATATTCTTACCTTGTAGGGTTTCTGAGGATTAAGTTAAGACATGTAAAGCACTTAAAACCTTGCCTAGTAGAAGAGAAGTACTATTTAAGTGTCAGCTGTTACTATTATTATCTCCCTGAGATCCATGAGTGGCAGGATGAGTGAGCTCAACTGGACCCTCTTGCAGCAACTGGAAAACAATAGAGATGACTGGTGTGAGGGAAAGAGCCCAGGATGGGAACCAGGGAATGAGAGCTCCCATTCTGGCCCCTGCCAGTGAGTTCCCTGATGATTGGCAGGTCCCTCTTGCCTCACTAGTCCTCAGTTTTCCTCATCTGCAAAATAGGAGCTGGGATTAATTTGTACCTAAAGCCCCCATTTAGCTGTGAGCCTTTTGTGAGTCTCCGATCCTTGCAACTCCACCAGGAGATGAGGAGGGCAGAGACAACATCTCAGTCCACACGCACAGGAAAGAGCTCTCCAACCCCCAGAAGGAGGTAAACACCATGACTCTCAGCTCCTCCTCTCCTCCCACCCACCCTGACCAACAGCCCCCAAACTGACTAAGCCCGCACTTGACACAGGACTGGGAGTGTGCTGTGGGGCCATGTGCAGTCTGACCATCATACCAGAAC